AGGTACGCACAGCTCTGCCAGCAGTGCCGTGCGTCCAAAGGGTCAGAAGTCATGGCCTTCAGGAACTCACGGCACTGAGTTAACATGGAGCAAGCATCCAAGAGCATACTGGAGGGGTGAATAATGACAGCAAACTTTTCTTAAGCACTCACGCATGTCCATACTGTAGCATGTGCTGGGTATTAGCTCATTTGATGCTGGGAGCAGCCCCCAAGATGGTGCTGTGCCTGGTGCGCAGGGGAGAGAGCTGGTGTGCTGCTCAGAGGCTGACTCAGGACGACACAAGCACAGGCCAAGCCTGCACCGGGACCGCCGCAGTATCAGTCTAGAACCCGCGCTGGGACTGCATGGCACCAGTCTAGGACCCATACCCGGACAGCCGTGGTACCAGTCTAGAACCTGCACCGGGACTGCCACAGTGTTGTTCTAGAGCCTGCCCTGGGGCTGCTACCATGTTGGTCTAGGACCTGCACTGGGCCCGCTACAGTGCCTGTCTAGAATCTGCACTGTGGCAGCCACAGCATCAGTCTAGAGCCTGCACCGGAACTGCTACAGCGCCAGTCTAGAACCTGCACTGCTACAGTGTTGGTCTAGAACCTTTAGTCGGTCCATCTGCTCCTCTGGCAAAGTGTCTCCCAGCTTAGGCAAATCATGTATTTACATGAGTTGAAAAAGATATTCCCAGACCTGCCCAGGAGGTCCTGATTTGGTGGGTCTAGACACCCCTGGGTCTTTAGACGTACCCTGATTCCAGTGTGCAGCCTGAACCAAGAACCAGCAGTCTAAACCAACCCACACCCAAGAGCATCACTTGGCTTGCAGCTGGTAAATAAACAGCTGTGCCCTAGGAAGATGGACCAAAGCTGAGGCTGCCCACGCGTGCCACAGAGGTCCCTGCAAGGACACATTCTGGGCCGCCAGGTACGCTGAGGCGCTCTGAAGAACTGACAGAGGAGGGGGAACAGGGTGCGATTGGGGGCCCTGTTTCCTGCTCTGTACCTCAGCCCAGTTTGCTTCAGAAGATGCCAGCCACAGTTGGATGGTCCCTTCTCCAGCAAGCACCCAGCCACGGGAGAAATGGACCATGTTACATAAAACCACTTCAGAGTGTTAGCTGAGCAACTCAGTGTGAACCAAAGGGAGGGCAAGTTGAGTCCCCCAGGGCCCAGGGCACCCCAGCAGCTGATGGACAGTTCTGAACCAGACATGGAAAGATGGAAAGGGTGGGCCTGGAGCATGACTGAGGAGGAGGAGGTGGGGGGCAGTGCGCTGGTCAGGTGGTGGTGAGGGAATAGTCCAGGGTGGGACGCGCTGTGTGGAGCCGTGAGCTGAAGACAGGTGAGCATTGAGTGGAGAGATGGCTGTCTCTAAGAAAAGCCTGAGGCAGCCGGCAGGGGAGGCCAAGGAAAGAGCCTGGTGTACCCGGAGCGGAGCCCCAGCAGATGGAGACAGACAACACCGAGATGGTTGCACAGGGGGGCTTTGGAGGAACCTCCACATTTCTGGGTTCCCCATTCAGAACCCCTGGGGCTCTGCTGTCCGTGGACATTTAGCCCGTGGCTGGGGGGGCCCCAGAGCTGTCTTTGAACTGCGATGAAGAAAACCACATGAGGCTCGTGGCTACTTGTAGTGGGCGAAACAGAGCTGCCCCCCACTGCTCATCCCTCGGCTCACACAGCTCAGACTTCTTGTGTGGATTCTAATTACGTAAAAACCTGGACTCAGCTATTAGGGATGAAAGCTGAAAGATCATAGAAGCAGAGCAGCCAGCCACTAGTTCTTACCTCTACGAAATCCTCAGACTGAATGGGATGTCCTGCCTCTGCCAGTCCTCAGACTGAACCCTGAGTCCCATTCACTCCCTCCTTATATTCCTCTCTCTGCCCAGCCATATCACTCCTGTCTCCACCTCCCTAGTGCTGGGGTGTGCCACCACTGTTAGGCTCTGTTTCTCTCTTAGACTAATCTCATGTAGCCCAGGGTGGCCTTGAACTTACAGAGATCCATTTGCCTCTGTCTCCCAAGTGCTGGGGTAAAAGGTGTGAGCCACCACTGCCTGTCCTCTATGGCTAACTAGTGTGGCTAGCTCCACACTCTGATCTTCAGGTGAGCTTTATTTGTTAAAACACAAAATGTCACCACATTTCCCCTTTTTTGTCTAAAATAAAAAAGGTTATAACTAATATAAGGAAAACAACAATAATAACTATATACAGTATGTACAGGCAATAAGTACATCAGCAATGTCTGGTCCATTTGCGTTTGACAAGTTCAGAAAATGTTCCAGTAGTCCTATCTCGGTGAGAAAGTGTTGTACATAATTCACTTTTTTTGACTTGCGTTACCAACCTCTCTCAACCTTACACAGTTTCCATTTCTTTAGTGAATTTCTTTGCTGAGCCTGGTTAACACTTCCTGTTGCCTACATCCTTATTCAGACAAATTAACCTCATGGCTGCTCGCAGCCCCTTCTGAGGAGGCACCATCATCCCCATCAAAAATGAAAAAGAAGCTGGGCGGTGGTGGCGCACACCTTTAATCCCAGCAATTGGGAGGCAGAGGCAGGAGGATCTCTGTGAGTTCGAGGCCAGCCTGGTCTACAAAAGGAGTTCCAGGACAGGCTCCAAAGCTACAGAGAAACCCTGTCTCGAAAAACCAAAAAAAAAAAAAAAAAAAAAAAAAAAAAAAAAAAAAAAAAAAAAAAAAAAAAAAAAAAAAAAAAAAAAAAAAAAAAAAAAAAAAAAAAAAAAAAGAAAGAAAGAAAGAAAGAAAGAAAGAAAGAAAGAAAAAGAAGCCAAGTGTGTTGGTGCATGCCTGCCATCTCAACACTAGGGAGGCTGGAGCAGGGGGATTATGAGTTAGAGGTCAGCCTGGACTATATAGTAAAGCCTTGTCTTTTAAAGGAAAACTTAGGATAAAGCCTCCCAGAGGTGGGAGAAGTGGACCTTAACCGGGATTGTCTCAGCTCCTATTAATCTTCCTTCAGTGGGACAGTTCTTGCTTCTGTATCCGCTATATCAGTCGGACAGACAGGTTCTCCGACAGCCTCTTGCCATCCACAAGGTCACTCGGACTTGGCTTATGAACTCCGTCTTCATCTTTTCACTCCATGGTGACAGGCTGGCAGGCTCGTGACTGCTGAGCTTGGGTGAGGTGGGCAGTAAGCGTAGACAGGACTGTCGGGACAGACAGCAACGGCACAGAAGGCTGAGGGGTCATGAGCAGAGCCAAGCGGAGCTGAACGGAGACAGAGGAGCTGAGGCAGGCAGGGTGTGAGGTGTTCTCATTGCAGGTCTCAGCACATTGCATGGTACCCCAGCCCTGCCCCCAGTGCTTCTGGAAGCAGAGTGTCACAAACTACAGGGACTGCGGGTGCAGTGTGCTCTGCTTAGTCAGAAACTCCAGGACGTGCAGCTCAGGAGTCATACCCTCCTGCTCTCAAGCCCCACTAGGTTGTCTATTCAGATACTCTTTGGAAACTTTGTATACTTTTCTCTAGTTCATAGTTCATAGGTGGGCATGGCCTCTTCCTCCTCAGACTGTGACAGGACTCTCAACCCTAGTTGCTCATTAGAATCATCTGGAAGCTTTGGAAAATTACGGATTGCCAGGCCCCAGCCCAGACTTGATGACTACAGACTTTGGGGCCTTGGGCATTTTGTGGGGGAGCTGCTGAGAGGAGGACCTCCTCATGCCCAGTGTCTCGTGGCTCCTACCTGCTCCTGCTTCCTCTCACTGGTCTATCTGACTGGGCTAAGTGGCCTGTGTGTTCTGAATGTAAGGGCTGCCCCAGCACAGCCCTTTCCCGATGAACGAGCCATCCTCCTCGGCATCACTTCAGCTTTCTGGGCGCTCTGGTGTTGTCTCTGACTTCCCCAGGTTCTTTATTTGATTTTTTTGGCTTTTTGAGACAGAATTTCTCTGTGTAACAGTCCTGGCTGTCCTGAGACTTGCTTCGTAGACCAGGTTGGCCTTGAACTCACAGAGATCCGCCTGCCTTTGCCTCCCAAGAGAGGTCCTTTCTTAATCACCTTCGTTTTTTGCCCCTCTGGAGGGGCCTCTTCCCTTAGTGTCGTGCCTATTAGAGGGAGCATTAGCGTTGGAGCAAAAAGATCCAGAACTGAGGGCAGGGACGCTGCCTGCTCAGTGGGTGCGCTCCGAGAACTGTGCTTACCAAGCTTCAGATGGCCAGGCCAACACCTGTCAGCTCCTGGCCCTTCTGCTGCTAGCTCAGGGGCCAAGGAAAACCTTCCATGGAACTCTGTTCCTCTAAAGCTGCTTGGTCCCATGCTGAACAAGTAGGAGCAGGCTTGATCTTTTGTCCAGGTTTTTGAGAGAGGGTCTCACTATCTAACCTAGAACTCCTGATTCTCCCGCCTTGGTTTTTAAGAGCCGGGGTCACGGGTGTGCACCGCTGTACCGGAAGGACAAGTCTGTTCTACAGTTGACTGTGAGGCACATGAAGAGCCCACAGAGGCCCCGGCTCCTTTTCTTCCTTAATTTACTAGTGATCAGCTGGGCAGGGTGGTTCATGCCTGTAGTCCCGGCATTTGGGAGAGAGGGAGGCAGGAGGACCAGGCATTGAAGGCCACCCTCAGCTATGTAACAAGTTCTAGACCAGGCTAGACCATAGGTGTCCATTTCTAAAAAAGAAAACTCATCAGTGACTGGACTTTTAGGAGACCAGTGACTCCATGCCTGTCTCCCTTGCTCTAAGCCTGCTGCTACGAAAAATAAACTAATTCACACTGTGCCTAACACATCGAGTGTGCTGGGCAGATTGAAGAGTGTCTCAGACTAGCTGAGCCATGACTGTGGTTTGAATATCTTGGAGGCAGTAAGTGTTCATTGTGACTCCCTGAAAGGACCAGAGAATGTGGGGACCTCAGGTGCACTGGCTCTGACTTGAAGAGGGGACTCTGACTTGGGGAAGTACACCTTCAAAACTTACTTGAGGGGCAGTGTGGTGGTCCTCACATGTCCTCCTCTGCCCCTGCCAGATGTGGATGAGTGTGTGGAAGGGACTGACCATTGCCACATCGATGCCATTTGCCAGAACACGCCACGGTCGTATAAGTGCATCTGCAAGTCCGGCTACACCGGGGATGGCAAACATTGCAAAGGTGAGACTGGGGGGCGCCTGCGGGAGAGTGGGAACCAACGCTGTTGCCTCGGGGGCGGCGTCACAGTTCCCAACACCTGCAGCCTCTGCAGGCCCAGGAGGGCCTCTTCCCAGAGAGCAGAGTGTCCTGGTGTGCATCAAAGCATTGCACAGAGCAGCCGGAGCGCTGGCGGGAACACTCCCTAGCCTCTTACCCACATAGCCGTCTGGAGTGTCATACCTCAGGCTCAGAACTAAGGCCTGAAGATCCCTGAAGCCGCAGCCTCTTCTTGTACCGTTCAGATCATGCTCATGGGATGGGACCGGCGTTCCCAGTGGGAGTTCACTCACAAACAAGTATATCTTCTGCCATAATTAAAACGCTTAATTCCAAGTAGCTTAGGAATATTGTTCTCAGTGTGTGACCTTGCATACTGCTGCGGCTTCGGTGGACAAGGTCTGTGATACTGCTTGTTGGCAACTTTTTGTTACCCGCTAGGGCCTGAGGGGTATTGGTTCAAGGATGACACCCCCCCTCCCAGCAGTACCACAGTAAAAAAAAAATGTTCAAAGTCTCTATATAAAATGGCATAGTTAAAAAAAATAAAAGTAAAACGGCATAGCGGTTTGTGTGTGACCTTCAGCGTCTCCAGCCTCATTCTCTCTGTGCACAGACGTGGATGAGTGTGAACGGGAGGATAATGCAGGCTGTGTGCACGACTGTGTTAACATCCCTGGAAATTACCGGTGTACCTGCTACGACGGGTTCCACCTGGCGCACGACGGACACAACTGTCTGGGTGAGCAAGGGGGGCTTGGCGCGCATTTGGTAAGGGAGGAGGAAAAGGGGCCAGAAAGAGCTGAATTCTTTCAAGGGAACATGGGCAGCCACGCCCCCCCCCCGTGAGGCAGGCACGCGAGGACTGGGACTGGGGTGCTGCTGCTGCTGGCCGGAAAGTACTAGAGGGGCGATGAGAATGGTGGGCTCAGCTCCGTGCGTGGGGGGTGAATTAGCTTCAGACGAGCCCTGGCCTCTGGGAATCTTAGATCTCTCGTCCCTAAAGTGTGTTAGTACCCTTCTTAGAGGCTGCTTGTGGCGCGGGGTGGAGGGGGGGGGGATCATCACGAGAACCTGTGTAGAAAAGCTGGGTGCAGCTTTAGCACGAGCGGGTGCTCCATGGACGGGAGCATTGTTGCTGTTGCAGATGGAACTCCTCGGGGCCCTGGGAGCCTCTGCTCCTCGTGCCTACTTTGGTCTCCAGCCTTCCTGTCTTCAAGCTCACCTACCCAGTTCTGAGCCTCAGTCTGCCTGATGTCCCTCGTCCCAAGAGCTCCGATACAGATGGGCTCCCTGGGCCACTGGATTCAGCTTTAGTCTGTCATTTTTGAGAGTCAGTCAGACCAAGTGAGAGGTCCCCTTAAGGAGAAAATCTGAAGTGTACAAGATTTGAGATTTGAAATTCTCTCAACTTTCTCTTTGGTTCTGGCAGAAGAGAGAATCGGCAAAGGAATGAGCAGTGGGTTAGGGTGTCAGATGCCCCACGGCCTAGGACCCCCCTTACTGCAGAAGGGCACGTGACTACCGCTGCCACCCTTATACCCAGGTCCCTGGCAGACCCTTCCCAGTGGCTGTCTTCCCCATCCCCTCTGTCACTGTAGAAGGGGCCTTCTCTGCCCTGTCACCTGGAGACTCCTTAGGGTCAAGAAACGAAACACTGGGTGGAGGATAGGGGTACCCATGGGACTATGAATATCACTTCTAGGTCTTTGGCTTCCGTTGGGTCTTTCTAACCCCACTTCTCACCAAGAACTAACCATAGAGATTGAGAGAGGAAAGAGGCGGGTACTGAGAGGGCCAGAGTTACAACAGTCTGTGTAAGGTGTGCGTTCAAAGCCTCAACCATCTCTTTAACTCTTAGGGAACCCTTGAGAAAATTGTCCATGTGGCGGGCCTCAGTTTCCCCAGGGAGAATCAGAATGGGAGGGCAGCAGCCAACATAGAGATGGAGCTACAGAAGTGAGCTGTCAGGGTGAGCTTGGCTCTAGGGCTGGTGACTTGGTGGCATCCTATTGTTCCTCCTCCGCCATAAAGGGTGTGGCCTGGTCACCTTCCCCACCCTTCCATACCACACTGCCAGGCTTTGTTTTTTTAAACCAAAATAGGAGAAAAGCTAGGAACTGTGGCAAAGAGCCCAGGCCCGGGGGGGAGGGGAGGAAGGCGGAGGTTGTGGCCGGTCCACAGAATGGTCCTTGCCTCATGATGACTTGTGACTCAGCTGTCATTCCCACCATTGTCGGCACCACAGCCATACTGCTGCCTGAGGACAGAGGCATTTCCAGGTTCCTGGCTGTCATCACAGCGAGGGGCCACTCCTGGGTCACTCCTGGGTGTGACTAATCTCCATCCTTGTCTTCCGCAATGTTCCTCTCACCCTGGCTTCCCTCCTGACCCCGGCACTCGGGCCCAGGGTTTTTATTGAGATTTTGTGTGTGCAGTCATGTGTGTTCTGTATACCACATGCCTGAGGTGCCAGAAGAGGACACTAGGTCCCCCAGGACTGGAGTTAGAGGCAGTAAGCTGCCATGTGGGGACTGGGACTAGAACTTGGGTCTCATTGCTGAGCTGTCGTCGCTCCAGGTTTGAGGGGTCAAACCCCGTCTCTACTGTGTGGGGAGGGATCCAGTTCTCACCGAGGCTAGCTAGGTGGGATGCTCCCCACCCTACCTGAGCTCTAAACTGCGTTCCTCTTCACAAGTACGGGACTGCTTGCTAAGGTGGCTCATGTGTTTGGGCCCAGTCTCTGGTGCCGCCACCGCAGCCCCACCAATCACCTGTCTTGCACAGATGTGGATGAGTGTGCTGAGGGTAACGGTGGCTGTCAACAGAGCTGTGTCAACATGATGGGCAGCTACGAATGCCACTGCCGAGAAGGCTTCTTCCTCAGCGACAACCAGCACACCTGCATCCAGCGGCCAGAAGGTCAGCCCATGGCCTGGGAGGCCCCCAGGCTTCTCTGCCCCGCTTTTCCTCTACACCCTGTGTCCTGCCCTCTAGATTCCTTCTAATTTCTTAATGTAGTCACAGCCTAAGGGCTCCACACACAACACTGTATTAGAAAAAAATCTAGGGGCTAAATCTGGGATCAGGTCATTGCCTGGAACTGAGGTTACTTTGGGGCATTCGCTGGCCCGGCTGTGATGGGGACCCTGTTGGTGGGCATTCATATGTAAGCTGCCACTTCTCAGGGACAGCCTCACCAGTGCCCCCTTCCATGGCTTGGATGGAGGAAGTTGTCAGAGGGAGCCTGGGGTGTGTGCTGCCTGCTCTTTCCTTCACTGGGATGATGTCCCCAGGGCAATAGTTCTGTCTGGTCTGCTTTGTATCCCATCACCCAGTGTGCTGCCCTGCCTGTGGGAGGAACTTAATATTCGTGCCGTAGCCAGGCTTGATGGTGCATACCCCTAAGCCCAGCACTCGGCAGGCAGAGGCAGGTGGATCTCTGAGTTTGAGGTCAGCCTGGTCTACAGAGTGAGTTCCAGGACAGCCAGGGCTACACAGAGAAACCCTGTCTCCCTCTGCCTCCCCGACAAAGTGGCATAGTAATTACCTCCGCTAGTTAGTTCCCACTTTATCAATCTGATTGCTATTTGTCTTCAGGTTTCTAGTCCAGGTTTAAGCTCTTTAAGCAAATAGGTCCTGGTTTAGATTTTCCTGGGTCATTCCTAAATCCTGAGCAGCTCTGGATTTCGGCTGACCCTCACAGTGTCCTTAGCCCCAGCTGGCCCCGCCCCTCTGCGGCCTCCAGGTGCAGCAGGAGCACCAGGCTCTCCTCTTCCCTTTGCAGAAGGAATGAACTGCATGAACAAGAACCACGGCTGTGCCCACATCTGCCGGGAGACTCCCAAGGGCGGCATTGCCTGTGAATGCCGCCCTGGCTTCGAGCTCACCAAGAACCAGCGGGACTGTAAACGTGAGACCTATGAGGGCAGGGGCATGAGGGACCGGGGGGGGGGGGGGGGGGGG